AGTGAAAATGCTCGTATTCGTTGAAGAAAATGAGCACAGAAAGATATCAATACTTTTAAAAAAAGTCTCTCCACGAAGTGAATTTATTAAAATGCTTTTAAAACAGTCTGGCAAAAATTTTCCCGCCATAAATATAATAGAATTCGATCGATAGCACCGTATTGATTATTAATATCAAATAGCTTGATTGCTACTGCAATGGAACCCTCTAGCACCTGCGACTACGTCAATCAGGCACAAACAAAACCAATTTCTATTGTAGAACTCAAGGAGACCATTTACACTGTTGTTGGCGGCATGAATCGTTCTATTCAAAAGGTTTATATAAATACGTTATCATAGGGCTTCATTCTAAGACAGAAAGCTCAAACCAATGAGAAAAAAACGCTTCGTAAAAGGATTAGATCATTAACTAATATGGTATTAAAGCAACGTGCTTCAGGCACAAACGGCATCGTTTACCGTAAACGATATAAATGATGATATCAACTTCTCTGTTTATTGTTCCCTAGAACAAGTACCTTTAGCCTCACCGGAAGACCGACTGCCTCACAACCGACCTAAATATCAGTGTGATAATTGAGGTGACTCGAAGAAGCTTCAGCAAACGGTGGTTTTTACGGTTTTTCTCGATCACTACTGACACAGTAATATAGACAGACAGTATTTGACCTAACCGCATCAAAGTTGTAAACAAACTGAAAGTTAGTTCAAGTTCCTTAGAGAACAATGAACTGCCCAAAACTGCAGACAAATCTTTAGCGGTACCATCGTAATTATCCTTTGGCTTTTCAAGGCAAGCTTGGCCAAAAGAAAAAAGGTGTCATAGGGTGACATATTCTTGTTTTTACTACAAATTCGTGCAATGACTCTAAAATATCTTGACGAGGTAGGGTTTTTCCAGATGAACATTCTTTTATCTGAGAATGTATGAAAGCCTATATGCAGATGTCGTCATGTGACGCAAGGCTCTCGAACTACCTGCGACGCTCCGCCATACCTAATTTGTCCTTATGCGTATTACCGATATGTGTCCGGTCGTGCGATTCCACAGGTAGCCCAAATCTAAAAGGGTATAATGCGCCGTGCTCGCAATGAAAGGCGACCTAAATATATTTCTGCTGACCTAGTTGTAAACATTTTTTTTAAAGATTCCTTTTGTCTTTCTAAGCTTGGCCGCTACAAACTTCGGGATATACTGTTTTCTAAACTCACGACGTCTATGGCTGTGGCTAACGAGACTACGCATGCTCCACTTAATTGAATTTCTGATGCCTAGCCAATATATAACCCGAAGGGTGGAGTTTTGTGTGCAACGACCAGCGCTAGGGACAAAACCCTGACAAAAGCACATTATAATTTTATTTATAATCAATACTGTTCTTGATTATTTTATTACCTTCATGGCGTGTTAATTCCGCATTCCTCTAACCCGAAGGTTCTACTCGACGTTAGCATGCCATCGACCTCCATCGATCCTCTTGAGAAGGTTGGTCTTAGTTAAAATCGGTCCGCTCATTTTTCACTTTAGCACACTCTCAATCTAAATAAAGTGTAACTACCACGCCAAGCGTGCCATATTAATGTACGGATTCCAGAACTTAGACTGTTTCAAGTTGTGTTCCGTATCATGTGGAATTTTTTTCGAACACGGCGCGTTCTGGATCGCTCTGACTAAAAGCTTTGGTAACTTAACAAAAAGATATCCAACTATATTAAGCTTTGGGTTGTACGTGGTAATAGAGTAATCCAGTAGTTCAATTCAACAGGGCGCGGTAGATGGTCTAAGGGCAATCATTCTCAGTAATTTTGTTCTTCATGGTTCATGCTGGTTCCAAGATTATTTTGCTTCACCTGGTTAATCAACATGATCCCTTAATGATCCCTTGCGCTCTTACGAAGTATAGCTTTGAACTAAGTCAGAATTTAGGACGAAAAATCGGAAGTACTCGACACCTGTAAATCAGACAAGGCTCACGCAGGAAAACTGTGGTTCGATAGAGCCTAGCGGACAAAATTGAGGTCCCTCGAAGTATGATCGTCATGTCTATAACCTCTGATGTATCTGCAAACTTACTACTTCAACGCCGAGAAGCCGTTTTCAATCAGTTTCAGAAGCAGAGAAACCACATCTTTAGGTATAGCTTGAAGTGTGCGTTCTCTGCATAGCGGGAAAAACCTTTGAGACTAATTTCTCCAATAGCTCAAGTTCTATTGATATTTATATTTGTCGTAAGTCCACCTTTTTGTGGCTACATAATTGTTTAGATTTGAGCGTCGAGCTTCGGCGTTCGGTTCACATTGTGGCGACTATTGAAAAGCAAATCGAGGTTTTTCGCCCGCCGACAAGACTTATACTTCAGTTCTTATGCTATGTATAATTACTAAACTATGATCGAATCCTGTCTGAGGGTAGATTAATCTTTTCTGTGGATCGCTTACAGATTCGATTCATGTTCATAAAAGGTAATCCATAGTATCCAGATGTGTCATTCGATTTCTGGGTTCGGATCGAGGCCTTTTTTTTTTTTACTGAACAAGAGAAAATACTATTTAATTAGAAAAACTATTGATTTTTATATGGAAGTTCGCCAGGCTCTACTTAAGATAGTTTGTAAATCAAATCATTTAGATGGTATTTGCTCCAGTGGAACACCAATCCATTGATGGAATAGAATTTATTATCTATAGTAAAAGCGAAATTTGTACAAGCAAACTGACCTTGAATAAACATTATCTATTTAATTTTAAGCCTTGAGATACTCACTATTCGGTGTTCTTCAGTATATGTAACTAGTAATAAAATTTGTAAACCTCTCTACAGTAATTTTCGATTAGTATACATTTCAAAATCACAAATTTGTTTGTTGTGGTTTGCCTTCACGAAAAAATGTTCGAGTTACTGGAAAATAACCCCAAGAAACAGCCAAAATCACCCGGCTCAACCAGATGACGATCCTGACGACAGCCCGCCTTTTGCAGTAAAGTGTTTTACTAGGATTTCCACGCAAAGCATCTCTATGATCGTTTCGCGAGGTATAATATCCTCCACGTTTTAATAGAAATCCTAAGTGATAATCGGAACGTACGCTGTAATTAATGATTTCAGAAAAAGCTGGGCTTTATTGCCCAAAAATCAGCGCTATCTAAATAGAGTGACGTCACTTATGTTCACGATGCTGTAATGCACGAACTTGTATTTTATGATTTTACTAATTTCCAGTGATTTTCTAAAGACTATAGTTTTTCCTTCCTTTCCGTTTAAAGGTTAGCTATCTGATACAAGTATGATTACCTCTCGCTTTTTGCGGGTCCAGCTAGCAATTTAAGCTGTGGATACTACCATATGCTCTTAGCGTACTGTATGTTTATTGTCACCATTCTCAGCTTTTACGCCTGACTACAATTGAATCAGAACAAAGAAAGCGTGCCCAATGGCCGCAGTCGGTCGTTGAAAAAATCAGCTTTGTTACGTACTAGAATATCGTTAAATGTACGCAGCAAGCCGATGTTGTTGGGTTTTCAGCCGTACGCTCGAAAAACTAACGCAGAAGTCATTTGAAGTAGCTTGCCCGATTTGCTCGGCCACTTTGATTGCTGATAGAAGAACTTTGGAATAGGGATAAATTGCATCAAGGGCAGGGGAATCCTCACTATGAACGAATCATAATCTGGCATTGTTCAAGTGATGTAAGGAATTTCTCTCTCTCTCTCTTTCTCTCTCTCTCTCTCTCTCTCTCTCTCTAGAGCTGTCCGGGCAGCCCGTGAGCACATTTGTACGTAGTTTCAAATGAGCCTACATTGTGTTTGATAATAATGCAATAGTAAATAAACAAAGCCCCTCTGATCCAGAATTTTTTGTACCATTTTAGCTATTCCTACTGTGCGAACAAATACCCGAAATGTTAAATTTGATAGCACTGCCTGATCCTATACGGCTATACAAAAAGTGTTCTACGAAATACATGCACACATAGTCAGCTACGTCCTTTTCTTTGCAACTATATGGGAATTCGTCCTGGAGAGAGAATTGCTTTAGACTTGTGCAAATCTAAGCCTCAATGGTTTAGACCCGTTAACGTACTTAATTGTGATACAAGTGGCGCAAAAGTAAACCTGGTTCCCAAAAAACTTGAAAAAAAAACATTTAGTCATTAGAAAATAGGCAACTAGATAATATTTAAAATGTATGATAATGACGCTTTAAGTGCTTAACCTCTTTGCTGTTAATGTGGGTTTCCAAACAGTATTTTCGCATGTATATTAGTTATACATTATATTGGGTCTCCTAGTACCGATCGCTTTTTGTAAAATTGAGAATACTTAATCCATTCCTTTCAACGACACGAGAGTCGCGTCTGACTGTTTCAATCAGAGCAGTGCCTTCTAACAGAATAATGCCGATCGGGATAAGGACGTGGCGACGGCTGTTTCTCTCTGTAGATCAGTAACGCTGTTTCAGCACGTATCCAAAAAAAGTTTGATCTAACTCAAAAAAAGTGTAGCATAAACCAGCTTAACGTTTAAACGTACTGCAGAGTTCAGTCAAAAGCCCTCGTTGCAAATGTCGGAAGGAAACAACATTCAAATATCCCGTAGATCCAAAGACTGAACTAACGATATATCTACATTTAGTCACCAGAAATATACTTAAAAAAGAAAACTAATGGATCTAGCTTTGTTAGTTTCCATTGCAAACTCTTCATTTCCGAGAAATTATTCAATCGTTGTTGGCTAAGGGTACGTTTTATGTAAAGTCCACCAGGCCGCCTTGTAAGAAAAGCTCCGGGCAATGTTACATGTTTGTCAAGTTCTTGCTTGCCGCCATTTCTAATCATAATAATGTCCCAAGGTAAGTTGTGTCTGGAACTGTTTAACTCTTCGAACATCTGTTCAACTAGAAAACTACTACGAACTAGAAAAGACTACATAATCAGAAAGAAAGTATCGATTGCGAGTGAACCCTTATAAATAAATAAAAATCCTCGGGCTATTTTTATTTTTAAAAGTGTCAACCAAAAACCATGGAAGGAAAATGTAAGATCATCATCTCCGACGATACATTTTTAACGACTAGGGTCGTCAACACGCATGTAGACTCTCCCGTACGCGAAGTTACTGTCGCATTCAAAATCATAACTATTTTCTACCGTTACTCTCATCACTCTCTCGGCGGATACAGTGAATCGCATATGCGTACGAAACCATTTACCCGTTGCCCCGCTTAAGGTTCGATGTGGACGTAGTTTGTTTAAAGCCTTCGTAAATGCCAACCTATGCGCCAAGCGCGCCTGCAAAGTCGAAAAAAACCTAGGTTTCAGTTCTCGTTGATTCCGAACGTTAACATGCTGCAACTTTGTGTCACGTTTCAGCTAAAATGCCACTACCGCAGAAATCGTAGTACAATGGCGTCGTTGTTTGATGCTAACGTATCTGAATCTGGCAGGGTTTGGCGTGTGTATGGGATATTCGATATGTTACCGTTAAGTTTTAAGTTTTCAAACCCTTGCGTGCTCAAGCTATTAACCTCTACAGGAATGACGGGGTATTGTGGAGGCTCAATTGGAAAGCAACAGATTTATCCGAGCAGCAGTTTAAATAGGTAAATGTTACAATGCCGTACAGCCCTATCCAGAAATGGCACTTCCCCACGAACTTGTGTGGGAGCTCATGTCTCGGAAATAACTAATAAAGACATTTTTCATTCACACAGCTTATCTAGCATGTATCGTTAATAGAATATAAGCTAGCGATGTCTGATCTCTAAAAGAGATCAGACATCGCTAGCTTATATATATAAGTGCACGTAATAAAACATTACAATGTCTATGTACAAATTATATATATTTAAAGCGAAGTGCCTTAGGGTTTCGTTGCACCTCGGACACACGGTAGAGAAGCAACTTAAAAACGTGTAACGAACTCTCATAAGCCAATATGGGACTCTTTGTTTGATTCACATGCATTGCACAATTGCACGTTTACGCGCTTACAGGTATGTCGCTTTGCTTCTATGCGCTAAGTATACGACTCACCATAGAGGAATAGTTGATACCCAGCTGCTTCACATAAGAAATGTTCCTTACATTTCAATGGTCTGGTGTTCCTGCCAGTTTGCTTCTGCTTGATTGTCGTACCAACCTAATTACGGCTCGAAGCAAACGCGGTTGTATCATTCGTGAGACGGCTATCTGGGGTCACCGTTGCGTTGCCCGTGCCAGCTACGCTTTTGTCCGGTGAAACATGGTAATCTTACAAACGAACCTCAGTGGATGTAATAAGACATTTTACGACTTGGACAGCATAATTTGCACCCGCTCCTGTAATAAAGACTGCTAAAGCGAACCGCCCGGCCGCTTCAAGTTGCACGAGGCGACGCTTGACAGATGTGCTGAGCATTAGTAGGCGAAGGTAGAATACTATTTGCATTGTATGCACATATAAACTATGGCGTGCATAAAGTACGTGCAATAATCATATGGTAGATTCAGGTGTAAACAAAAAAGTTCAATTTAGAATGGGTAGGATCCCTGTTAATAGGCGGGGTGGTACATTATCGCGATCCTGTACAGGGGTTGAATTTTCTACAAATGCTATCGGATCCACTGAACGGGGGCGTTGCTTGTAATCTACTAAAATGCTGGTCTTATGCTGAATCGGACGTGTTCCAGGCCACATTTTACATTTGCTCATTTAGTACTATGTTCAGTTCTTGCAAGCTTCAGATGCTCACCGCTTAGCGTTCCGTTAAAGGTCCTTGCCTCCCTTTTAAGTGACATAAACAAGCTACAATTAACCCAATCCACATCTTCACTACTGCACATTGATCAGTTCCAAAAGTCAGCACCGTACTAAGACGTCATAGTCGACGAAGCTACAAAACGGCAGCTCGATACTGTCCAAGCGTCTCGACTCGCAGGAGATCGATAGCGTGATTGCGGCAGAGCATGATTAAGTAAAAAACGGCAATTTTTTTTTAGCAGTCCTCAGTACAGCCCGTTTTTTGTTGTGCCTCGTAATGCAGAGATGCACCTATATTTTCTTATTCATCGTATCTCCACAAGGGGTCGTACCGACATCCGTTCTGTATTCAGTTCATACAGTTTATGAACTAAATCATGGGTGTTTTCAACGATACATTACAAAATCGGCTACACATCATTGTCGGCAAGTAACTGTAAGCGGTAATCTCTATTATTCTTGAAAATCCCCCTATTTCAGTTATTGTCGTAGTCGCGTGCGCCTTTAGCTTCTTCAAGGGTGAGAACTGCTTGTCATGTTATACATACTAGAATAACCTCGCTTTTGCCAGTGGCCACCGTGCGCCCCCTCAACTGAAGCCGTCCTGTAGTATCCATTATCCTATTAGTCTCACGTATAACAGATGCGGCTCCAGCAGTCGGCACGACAACTAACTAACTTAGCAAAGGCTTCGTACGGTAAATGTAGAGGATATTAAATCGCTTACCGTACTTAAGCCGTGGTTCACTAGAACATTCATCTACACTCTATTGAATCTATAAAGACACTTGGTAGCGTCGGTTATTGGGCATGCTTCTCCTATAGCACTTAAATAATAATAATAAACCTGCGATCGGTGGCGGTTTCTTTGAAACAACGTAAAACAAAGATGTCAAACAATTGTTAAACGTCACGTTACACGGCGCCATAGAAATCCTGGGAATAGCGGGCGAAGATACTGTATTTCCAACTAAGCTAGGGAAGAATTTGCGAGACGAAGGAAGCCTATATCGAATAGGGAGATTTTTTTTGTTTCAATGGTTTTATTTACCAATGAAACAGGGCTCACAGCGATCTTATCGTTAGATTCGAATGTGCAGTATGTCGTCCAACTACTGTCAGATCCAACAGGACTAAGTGATATGCTAGATCGAGTGTTTCTCCTTTAATCCCTATTCGTTCTCCTGTTAATGTTGGTTATCCTTATAGATCGAGTTGCATAGAAAAAAGATTTATTATTATATATATTAAAAAAGCTAATTTTGGCTACTTTGCTCCATGCTTCAAACGATTTTCACAAGCGACATTGTCAGCCGCTTAATTATAGTATAAATTGAAGCTTCAGTAGTTTGTTTTGCCGGTCATGTTTTGTCAAATTATTTGTCATATTTAGTGATTCGTCCCTTAGCGTCGGTTGGTAAATCGAACGAGCTGTTGTTATCTCTAACCCGAGACGGCTTCGGTGAGCGTTTGAAGAGCTATGCCTTACATATCTGATAAGATTTCCAATCAGAGAGCAAACCTGTGCGTCTCCATGCATAGCGGTTCGCTTTAACGCCTGACCTGTTTGGAGCTATTTAAAAATGAAGCGATGATCTAACCAATAGCGATTAACCAGTGATGAATTTTTGAGGTAGCTAAAATGATCTGCTTCGATAGCTGCTGAATTATGAACAGTTGTACACGAACTAACTTACGCGACCATTGAATCAGCGGCCCGCCTGTTCGCTGGTCGGAATTCGGTATATTACACCCCCGGAATAGGGAAATCATCGATACAATTGGTTCAAGTACGGCCATGTTTAGCGATAGGTCGCGTTTTTAATAATTTCGGCTATAACAGGGACGTTCGTTACCTGTATAATACTTGATGTCTTTAGGCTCACCCTATATTCGCTGCGAGCATAACCTTTGGCCAAAGCTGCCGAAACATTGAAGCAGCCTCGTTGAATCCAGTCCCCCTGCGACAGTGGATCTGAGTGGCCTAAGCAACTGGCATACTCATTTTTCAATGAAAAAATGATCAATATAAGTCGTTTGTCTAAAAGTGCTGTCATTTAATGGACGGAACAATCCGGTACCATTCCGTGATAGATTCGTCAAGTAATGGTATATATATATATATAACACGAAGTATTTAAATTTGAACAGACGTCTCTAGACTGTTTGTCGTAGCATGTGTATGTGTTGTTTGTTACTCATAATCCCAGAATGAAGCCAGTTCTTTCTAAAACTCATTCAAACGAAAGACAAATCTGAGTGAAAATGAATGATGATCTAGTTCGCTTAAGCCCGCCAAGATAATATACTTGATTTTTACCTAGAGTCGACGATGTTTGCACCCTTCATGTAAGCAACTCGAAGAAGATTTTTTGTAATTGTAAATTTAAAGGGCTCTAAAGTTGATCAGAGTGGCCCAAAAAACTATTTTTGATACGCCTCAATCTTTCATATAAAAATTAACGGCCGTAGAAAGAGTGGAATCTCAACTGCCAATTCGGTGGTCCAGATAAGCCTTCGCCGATCGTTCTTTTTAAACCTTTACGTACCTTTCGTACTTATTGGCTATATTGTTTGATTTTTAGGCACTCGGCTTTGCTATCGGCCTACAGTTCAGTTCCGCTAAGATGTCGTGTATGCAACGTATTTGAGCATCACCTCAGCAGGTTTATATTTATCAATATCGCTTGGGGCAAGTTTATTTTAATCTATTTGCGGAGTAAAGAAGCAATACTTTGAAAATGACTAGTGAGGGGTGCAGCAACGGCAGCGAATGATGTTTGTTTTAAATAAAAGGGTCGTAAAGACCACAGATGGGAATGAGTCTGAATTTAGATGCCTCACGTTGTATATAGCCCAAGCTCTATCGATTACGATAATCGTTTACTGTTCTACTAGAATCCTTCGTTTCTATTGATATACTCGATAGGGCAATACAGAATGTGTACGCTTCGGGGTATTGGTTTCGCGTTGTAGATTTTTTTTTTGCAATTGGTGAGCGAACTCGACTTTTTCATCCTATACCCGATATTAATTCACAAGTACACTTACATGCCATTTCGACTAGGTCTATCGCTGTTGACGAGAGGCACACATTTTTTGGCGGAGGCGATTGAGGAAATTCCAACTAAATGGCGAAAGTTTAAGAAACAAACTTTATTTCTAAAATGATTGCTCGAAATCGCTGCAATGACCTCATTGAAGACCTAATTACAATCAATGTCATAATAAAGCTTGTGCAACAATTTTGTAATTCTTTTAAAATGTGGGTCTGTCTTTCGTAGAGCCTAATTCGAATCTGAGACCACGCCACCTTGAACAATACTTTTGGTTCCGTCGTTCAAAGGGCTATGTCCCTGGCTCATAAGTGAGGTATTCGTCTTGCTTCACGGAGGGCTTCTTTAAGGTTAAAGTCAACAGGCTATTCTTCACGACGACAGTCGCGGTCGCTGAATGTTCGAGAAGTTCAATATAGGACAGTGTTCTGCTCATCGACTCCATCAAAGAATAAACCCGATAAAGAAAAAAAATGTCAGCATGCCCTTTAAGCAGAGAGAAAATGATAAATTTAATTTTCGATAAAGGCGCGAAATGCGCCATAGGCTGGCACATGGTGACAGATACAAAAATCTAGATCCAATAACAGTTACGCAATACAACAGTGGCATTTATCCGCTCTTTATCCTCAAAGTCAAACTTTATTTTTATCGTTCATTTTTTATCGAACATTATCGTCCAGACCGTTGGTAGGGTCGTTGGATACGCTTGTTAACAACTGCATATTGTCCCTCGACAGCTGCAATGAATGTGCCACGAGCCTAAATTCCTAGGTGCAAGATCGTTCCTCAAATAGTCACTAATTTGGAGAATTAATTCTATCTGAAAATCGTAACAGGATGTTAGAGAACCTTCAACAGGTGGATTTTTAGGGTCTGATGCCTACGAACCGGATAGGAACCCGCTAAGGTTTGATCTAACGATGCAGGGTATAGATAAAATAATATTTGCTCATTACTATTACTTTAAGGTAAACCTATTGACCATATTTTAAAAGTGACCTTTATTAATACGACCCCGCAAATACAATAGCCTTAAAACAAATAAAATATACAGCAACAAGCGTCACCATATTTCTGTCGAATTCAATAAGCCAACGTTCTATTGTGGTATCGTCTTCGGAAAGTCGATAGTTTTTTCAGTATAACTAGTCCCATGAGTGGGTGTTCTAGGCAAGGAAAAATTCTCCGCTTTAGAAAGTTTGCATTAACCTAGCACCTGCCCACTTTACACTAAAACGCTGCATACATTTCGACAGAATCTCATTTACGATTCATCTTTGTTGAGTCCTCACATCCAGGCAAATGCTAAGAAATAACCTCCCAATGAAGGATTTTTCTCTAAGTCAGATTCTCACAATTGGACGTAATGGAGATGGCTGCTTAGAAAATACGGGGTCATTGTTGCGAAAGTTCAAAATTGCTGCATGAAAAATCCCACTTGTATGGTTTTGTTTGCTTGAGCGCTAGGCACGCTTTTTGGCTATCCTAAACGTCCAATAAAACATCGTGACGCAATAAACCGCGGCGACCCATAAAGCAGTGAACGGGTCAATTGCTGCTGTTATTGGACTAGTTGATATTCTCGTTAGACCTAACGTAACGTGATAGATAGGCACCTGTAGAAGATCTATCGCCGCAAGTTAAATATCAGATCTGCATACTAATTTTGCAAGACTAAACTTAGAAACGAACGTAAGTCCTGTAAGTTGTCTCAAAACAGCTTTCAATTTAGTTAACTTATCAAGCTGTAACGTAGTGAGAACTATTCTTCATCATTAACTGTTCGAAATAAACAATATTATTTAGAACTTTATCAATATCAGATTGGAGGTGAACAGAATGAAGCCGAACCACAGTACATTTCATTGTCAGTATAACCAGCGACAGTGGCGGGATTTTGCGGGGCGAAGTGGGCGGACACCTACGATAGCCGAAAAAATGTTATGTGACTGTATATTTGTACACATAGATACATCTAGAAAGCTTTATTCATTTTATTATACCGTTCACTGCAATCGTTACTTGGTTTTATCCATACAATGTATGTATCTTCTTCAAACACTACTGCAGAGTTAGATACTTTTCAAGTTTCAAGCGGCAATTTTAGACTTGTGAATCATCTACGAGTAAGCGGTGTTCTATATAGAACATATGTTTATAGTCACATACCGCACTATTTTGAACGCTACACAAAATTCGAATTTCGCTACTGCCAATACCTAAGAATTAGGTTCAGCCTAGTCAAAGTTGTCACCTTGAGTAATTTTGAATAATATTATTTCGTTTCAAATGTCTTATCCATCAATTTATTCGTCATACGTTTTTAGTTAGTAGCGTCGAAAATACCCCCCCTGCGTTTCGGAGGTTCTGTTTTCGTCCACTGCCATATGCATAAAAGCGTTCTTCAAACACGTATTTAGCACGGTACCACCGATGGGAGCTTTCACTGATCAGAAAGTCTATGATGAGTCAATAGCTTTGACGTTAGTATGGCAAAAATTATAGCTTGTTGGATATTCTATTATGGGTAGAGTAATCGCAGTAACTGCAAAATAAAACATTTGAGAGTTCGAAGCATTTGAGAGGTACTGGGCTTCCTTGTGGTCGAATGTTCTGGTAACTTCAAGTCTAAGGCCAAATTTAAAGCTGGACGCGGCTTTCTGAATTACACCAAAACGGGGGAGAAGGGCTTGAGGATGACGTGCACACGTCTGATGAGGGCGAAGGGACCAATGAGTTTTTCTTAGGAAAGGGTTTTCTCAGGTCAACATTTTCACAACGGCGCTGCGAGGATGATTCCTCCTGTTGCAACATTAAAAAGCGGCCCAGTTTGACTTAACATCGGTTAGGGTCGAAGGGGCAGCGAGCTGCTCACCAGTGGGATACAATCGTTTTCGTGTTACAAAGGATGAAAGTCAATGCTTAAGCCCAGTTTCGACTCATTTCATTAGCAATTGTAGAAGCTCATTCAGTGCATTTATCTATTTATTACCTGAACCTGATATCTAAACTTATCTGGTTCCTAGAGCTCGGGGATGGAGAGCATAAAAGTTGTAACGCTTGTTCAATTACTACTTAGTTAGACATAATCTGAACAATAATTAAGTACTAAATATAAAAAGGGAATCAACCCAGTCTATAGCGATAATCGAAACTGCGCAAGCACAAAAACGCGTTTGGGTATTCTTTTCGTAACCCCTCATGCAATATATTAGATATACATCAAGGGCAGTTTGTACTTGCACACTGGTAGTGATTTAAAGTAAGTTTCCTGAACTTCAGGTCCATATTGTATCCCTCGCATAAAGCAAGTAGCGAAAATGCTATTCGTGCTTTGGTTTACCATGCACTCTGGTGATAACCTGAAGTCTCAAATAAGACACATTGCTACAGGTCAAGAGAAGGCAAACACATTTCTTCGTTTCATACATTTTATTGAATTTATCTACATATAAACAAATATCGTGTCTTGCTGGTTGTGCGATGGATATTGCGCGCCAGTTTTAAATGAGTGATATGCTAAGTCTTTACGACAGATCTCGCTTCCAGAAAGTATCTCCACAGAGTAAGATCTATACCTCAGCTATGTGGTCAATGTGTTGTAATGCATGAGTTCTCGTATAAGCTGTCATCTAATCATCACATATAGTGGACAAAAGTTTCGTTTTTACTAACATATAGGCGAACGTGGCACGCATGCACGTTATTTTGATACGATTTTCGCTTGTTTTTACAGTCGAGATCCTTCGCGGAAGGTCAGTTCGCGGATGTTGTCTATGTATTCTATCTACGCGCTGCTACCGTCGATTCCGTAGCCATAGCTGTGCAAAGGATAGTGATACTGGCGCGAAAATGAGAGAAAATCGCGTAGTGCAAGCATAGAAGCAAATCAGCGCTGCTAACCCCTTTGCCAGAATCCTTCGTAGCAAACGATGCCTTGTTTTTA